CTCGATCATGGTGATATCAGGTACGGGCTGCACGTCAAAAAGAAAAATGATTAAGTATAATGCGAAAAATTAAAATTAGTGCCAATGCTAACTAGCATATACAAAAGATGTTTTACCTGTCCTGAGCCAATATAATCTGAAACGTGGCTCGCCTGGAGGGTCAAAACCACCTTGTAGATCAGAACAAGCCGCGACAACATGTGAACAAGGAATCCATTGTAATTGCGGTACGTTGCAAGTGCACGTACACGAGTGATCCACTAACATGTTAACTCTATAAGAGCGATTTTCTCTATGTGATATTCCCTCAATGACTTCCCATTCATTAAAACTGTATCTTACGACATGAAAGGATCGAGCTTGTACAATCCGAGCCGCTAACATTTCATCATTTTTCGGTGTGAGCTCCGAGCGGATATTTTCACCAAGTTCGCGACGTCGTAGAAAGAAGTTATTAAGTCTGTAGAATGTTTTAGCAACTAGTGACTGTATTGGCATACCGCGTGCTCCCCTGAGCACGCCATTGAAACTCTCTGAAGCGTTCGTAGTCATCATACAGAACCGTCTCCCGCCATCTTCACATAAAGCCTACTTATCAACATTGTGTGGTCCCAAACTAGTTTCGATCCAATCATGTGCAGCTCGGGAGATAAACTTAATCCTCTCTCGTATTTGGTCATAAACTAATTTTTCTGTTGCACAACCGGCTTGCCAAAGAAGATCTTGAACCTGACCGTTTCCAAATTTCTTCTTGAAGTTGTCCCTAATATGTCGCAAGCAATAACGATGTGCATGTGGCTCTGGGAAATGACGTTGGAGTGCTCTTGGAATTCCTTTCATCCTATCAGATATGAATGTAATCGGCCGCGCACCCACACTAGGGATATGATATCTAATGCATGCAAAAAACCACGCCCAATTCTCTGTGTTTTCAATATCAACCACTGCAAACGCCAAAGGAAACAAACCGCCATCCGCATCAACTCCGGTGGCAATAAGCAAAACTCCTTTGTACTTGCCGTATAAGTGGGTGCCATCAATGCTAAGAAGTGGACGACAATGTCGAAACCCCTCAATACATGGCCCAAATGCCCAAAATACACCGGTGAACCGCCGATCTCCGCCATCAACGGGGTCCGAAGATACTTCGTAGACAGTTCCTGGATTTTCTCTTTTGAGTGCTTCAAGATAATGAGGTAAGATCTCATATGATTTATCCTAATCACCGAATATTTTTATCATCTCCTTCCTCCTAGCATTCCAACACTTGTGATATGATACATCCAAGTTGGTGGCTTTTTGCACTAGAAGATGAATATCTTTCGGCCTTAGATCAAAATCCTCCCTCAGATGCGGTAAAATCAATCGATATATGAAGGAAGAGGATGCATTCTTGTTATTCATCTCTAATCGAGGATTGCTACAAGTGTGGAGTCCGTTGTATGCCGTGATTTTGAATTGCCCGCCTACTCTTACACCGGAGCGTGAATTAAGCTTCCACGGACATTTCGCATTGCCGTCGTGGTGTCCACCAATATCTTCATCATCGCCATCTTTGCGATAGAAACAAACCGCATTATAGCTTGTAGTATTATTTTTTGTTGGCCTAAACTTGACATTTTTTGCAATGGCGTACGAGCGAAGCGCATGGATCAATTTCTCCTTGCTCTCATATAGATCTCCCTTCACGAATGAGAAGTCCTCGCCCTGTGTATCATGACCGCTATTAGTGCCAATAGGAACACTTTCCATCACGGAGTTATCGATCCATTCTTCTCCTTGAAGTTCATCGGGCGGCGGATCCTCTAAGACAACATACTCATTATTAGCATAACACCCATCAATGTGGTGGTTGTCCCCTTCATCACGATCTATCAAGGTCATGCTATCAATTTGTAAGCCCTCCTCTTCATCATCATTCTCAGATTCAACACTTGCATTATCTTCTTGAACTCCTGTGTTATTATCGACCGCATTCGAAGTGCCCACAAGCGAAGGACCGCTCATATATTATGATTGTGTCCAACCTTCATCTTGCTGAGGAGATAAAAAACCAACGGAATCAACATCAAGGTCTTCCAACATGCGGGAATACATTCCATCATAATTCAACGATTTGCTCAAATTCCTTTGATGTTTTTCAATGAACAATTCAATCGAACGCTTCTCGTCATGTAAGACTCCAATAAGACTCATATTGTAGTCACTTAATATTTGAATGCTGCTTGTCCTGTTCTCCACAACAGGATAATTACAAATAACATTAAGGTGATACTCACGTGAGTTGGTTAATGTAAGTTTGTGCAATTCATTAACCAACTCATCGAAAGTACACGATTTTATTATAAATAACGGTCTCGTCACACCTCCTTTATAAACGAGCATATTATTTTCGAGGTAGTTATTTTTCCCATCATACGACATTCAAATATCGATATACGAGAATAAAGAAAATATATAAAGTTGTTCAAATTATATATGGTATAATACTCATGAGTCATACTCTGAAACTTTGGGAGAGGGTAATTGAGTAAAGACTAAGAAAAGAGACAAGTTTATTTGAAAATCAATTTGGCTTTGTGCCAGTGAGGTTAACTACTATGTAACCTAACATATTCTGAGACAGTTGAGGGAGAGATATAGAGAGAAGGGAAATGATTTACATATGGTTTTCATATATCTAGAAAAAGCTTATGATAGACCTAGAGAGGTAATGCGTGAAATTTAAAATAGAAACATGTATCTAGTATATATATTGATGTGATTAAAGATATGTATAATAGAGTAACAATTAGGGTAAAAACTAATGAAGGAGAGGCTAAACTGTTTCTACCTTTCTACTTTAAAAATGATCTCTCTTCTACTTTAAAAATTATCTCCATTCTAGTTTCATAAGTTACATTAGGGATAATCTGTGGTAATTAATTGGTGATATAGTGTTAGTTGATGAAACTAGAAAATAGATAATTTTTAAAGTAGAAAGGTAGAGACAAGCTCTTGAATCTAGATGTTTTAGAATTAGTAGAACAAAAACAGAATGTATAGAGTACTTCTTTAGTAAAACTAAGAAAAGAAAAGAACCTACAACTCCCGTGAAGCTGCAGGCCAGATTTTCCAGCGAGCTGCTCGCTGGCGATTTTACCCTGCAACTCCACGGGAGTTGAACTCCCGTGGAGTTTATTGGGGGAAGTAAATTTCACGGGAGTTGAACTCCCGTGAAGTTTAAAAACGTACTAAACTTCACGGGAGTTGAACTCCCGTGAAGTTTCGTAAAGTTTTTTAGAAAAACCGACCTGGTTTCAGCGACAGTGCTGAAACCAGGTCGGTTTCTCTAAATAAATGTGAAACGGGTCTTTTTTTGCAATAAAAACTCCAAATAGGTTGGTTTTGAAAATTTGTCCTATGTCCACCGGTCATCCAAATTTTGGTTTAACCCCCACTTGGTTTTTTATATAATAGTATATATTATATACAATATGCAATTCTTCTTCCTTTACGCTGGAGAACAACCTAATTCATGAATCTGTCAATCAATGAATCTGATTATCTCATTTTCTAAATGTTGTTTAGTGGAAGATTTTCATTTCCTTGTTTTTTCTTCCCCCCTTAAAGATACTAGTTTCTCAAGATTCTAATCCTGACCCCTTTCACACCTATAGTCTAGAGATTCTAAGCTATTCCTTTTCACACGTAGGACTTCCTTTTTATCATGGCTAAACCATAGGCAATTCTCAAAACGTCCAGATGGATCCATGCCTTCGTAAGTTCTTTGAATGCGGTTCACTTTTCTAGTTTCAAAACCTTAAACACACCTTACTCCAAAAAGCAATTTTTCGTTGGTAGCAAAAGTTCACTGGTGTTGGGAATGAGAAGACCCCTTTAATTAGGTGGTGGATAAATGTTTATCATGGTCAATATGTTAAATAGTGTTGGTCATTTAAACCGGATATTTTACTCTGGAAATACAAAATACGCCATCAAATTAATTTTATGTTATACATTCCTCGTGATATTTCCGGAAATAAGTCTTTTGTTTCAAGAATATTATCGGATCACACACCAAAAATGGACCTTGAAGAAATGGACTAGCTATTCCTTTCTCAAAATAGCGTCTTGATTAGTATCTGCTGTGTGGTTCAATCATTAGGACTAGTGCTAAATACTAAAAGACCGAGTTTCTGTCAATTATCAATTGTTGGACAAAACTTTTAACCTGATTGTTATATTTCTTATTTTAAGGAAATAAGTAAGCAGCAGATTTATTTTTTAGTCTATTAAATTCACTTGTCAGGTATTCTTCAAGCAAGTCTCCAAAAAAATTACTCTTCAAGCACACACTAATCTTTTAAATATGATGAAGAAAATAACTTTTTGTAAAAATGATAAAAATTTATATAAAATACCTTTTATTTTCTGTAAATTACACTATTTCAAAATTGCACTAAACTCTGATAACGTTTTGGAATTGTAGAGAACTTCCAATAAGTTTTTGCACTTGGCAGATATTCCTGTAAAATAAAACTAAAAAACAACATAAAAAGATGTTTTGAGAGTTATTGTGCGTTTAATGTAATTTACCCAAAAGATATGCGGGTTTTTTGCAAAAAAAATTGTTTTGGGTCAGGGGCTTGGGGGGAGGGGGGGCTGTTTTAGTGTGATTTTGAAAGTTATTTGGGGTTTATTGTAAAAAGTTGAAAGTTCTTGGGGGCTAGTGTATTTTGAGGAGGCGAGATAAAATAACCTGTTTAATTGGACAAATTAATTAATTAACATTAACTTAATCGAAATTAATCGAAATAAGATCACAATCCTCAACCGTACGTATCCGACTCATCCTCAAATACAAAAATACCCAATACACATATTATACGGTAAAAAATCTCATCACATCTCTCATTAAGTTTACAGTTAAATTAAATTAACCTACACACGTAATTCCAATGGCAGAACCGTAACTGTTCGCTCACTCATCCCTCTATAAAACCACTCGGATCACGATCTCCCCCATCTACACCCAAAACCCCTTCTCTCGCTAAAAAAAAAGTTCCCTACCCCCTTTGATTCTCTCATTAAAAAAAAGTAATGGCTGTTGAGAATGTTTTGCCGGTGACCAGACCGCTGTCGTCGTCGACGGAAAAACTCCTGAAGCACCACACGGAGAAGCACTTCATGGCGGGCGACGTCGTGAGGGACGTCATCATCGGCGTCTCCGATGGGCTAACCGTGCCCTTTGCTCTCGCCGCTGGGCTTTCGGGGGCTAACGCTGCTTCGTCGCTAATTCTCACCGCTGGCCTCGCTGAGGTCGCGGGGCTATTTCGATGGGACTCGATGGGTAAGGTCACCGCCTATCGTTTATCTTGTTTAAATAGTTCTTTTGCGTTATAAGGACCTTAATTCGTTTGCTTTTGTGATAAGTTGTTGCTCCTATAAATCTTAATCTAGTGGATCTTGTGTATTTATGGTTTATTATTCTGTACTATCTCGAGACCAGAAGATACATAAGCAACATAACATAATAAGGAGCCAGCTATAAAATATGGCAAAAGATATCCTCGTTTGCACAAGCTACTATTAATTTCAGATTATCAATTTTTGGAAGCTTAAAAAGATTGATATCTAATTCTATAATTCACTCATAAAGTTTAATTTAAAAAGTAAATAAGAATAGCTAAACTGTATGGTATTACTCACTGACTCAAATGGCAAAACAAAATTCGACACTTAATTTCGAAATTCGTTATATATCTCTACCCCGCATTTCATTTTTCTTTTTTATCTTTTTTGAATAATTTGTTAGTCTTTGCTTCAATGTCTACAAGAACATGCAACAACTTTACTATCTGAAAAAGTTGTCACTTTGTGGTCACAAAATTTTGAATTACCTTGTCGTTACCTCTACTAATCTTGAACAAATTTTTTTATGCATAAAGGTGTTTAGAGTTGTATTTATGCTGCCTCCTTGTTATGTAGCCGAACCGAAGGGTCCAAATTCTCAAGAACTTAACATAAACTAATTAAGAAACTTTGTGTGAGTTTCCCTTTCTTACTTTTATTGACAGCGGTTTCCGATATCATAATGAAACAATTCGAACCGCCCAAATATACCGGATCTGGAATCTCGTCCGGTTCAATAAAGATTTACATTCCCGACTAACTAATCGCCCGAATCTTGATGTGCACGTGGCAGGTATCTAGCAGCCAAGAGTGAAGCTGACCACTACATGCGAGAACTCAAGAGGGAGCAGGAGGAGATCATCCATGTACCTGAAACTGGTGGGTACACCGTATAATCCTTGTATTTTGTACAATTATTTGTTCCCTAGTTTTAAAAATCTACTTGGTAACATACATTTGTATTGGATTTTGATCGCTTGAGCAGAGGCTGCTGAGATCGGGGAGATCATGTCAGAATACGGTTTAGAGCCGCATGAGTACGGTCCCCTTGTTGATGCTCTCCGCAAGAACCCTCAAGCATGGCTCGATTTCATGATGAAGTAAGCAAAATTTTATTCAAAATTTCACCAAAAAAAAGTAACGCACATCAAAATTATGATATCCATTTTTATTCATGTTAATCGTTAGGTTCGAACTTGGGTTAGAGAAGCCGGATCCAAAGAGGGCACTAGAGAGCGCGTTAACAATCGCACTTGCGTACATTATGGGCGGCCTTATCCCTCTCTTGCCCTACATGTTCATCCCGATAGCTCAGAGGGCGATGCTGATGTCAGTTGCAGTCACGCTGGTGGCACTCCTTTTCTTCGGCTATGTCAAGGGTCATTTCACGGGCAATCGCCCTTTTGTGAGTGCCATTCAGACTGCATTCATCGGCGCTCTTGCTTCTGCTGCGGCGTATGCTATAGCAAAAGTTGTGCAAGCTGTTTAAGTATGGACTTTGTGTAATAATGTGCGATTGATTTAGGGTTTCTATTTAGTTATGTTTGTTATGGTTTCTTTTATGTTCAAGATGTTTGATAATTATTAAAGACATTGGTAATTTTGTGATTGATCATGATTACCCTCTCTCCTTTTTATATGATTGGTACTGAAGGCACGAATATTTAATGTGTCATCAATTTTTCTCCAAGGAGACCATTTATTTTACTTTTAGTAGCAACGTACCAATAACCTGAAAGGTCTCTTAACAATTTGCTTGTCTCCTGCACTGGAATCTAATGTCTTTAGAGAAAATTGCACATAAAAGCAAATTGAAAAACGTTAAGCCACTAGTAAAAAATGAGGCATCCTAGACGGAAATTTTCGTCTAGGAAAATCAGATTTCCGTCTAGGATAATTATCCTAGACGGGATTCCGTCTACAAAGCGCATCTAGTAAGTTCCCGTCTAGGATGTAGTATTCTAGACGGAAATTCCATCTAGGATACATCCTAGACGGAATATTCTATACGGAACTTAAAACCGTCTAGGATAATCCTAGACGGAAATTCCGTCTAGAATGAGCATCCTAGACGAAAATTCCGTCTAGGATGTTTTGGGTATCCTAGACGGAATTTCCATCTAGGATACTCAACCTAGACGGAAAAATTTTTTCCGTCTAGGATGAGTATCCTAGATGGAAATTTTGTCTAGGATACCCAAAACATCCTAGACGAAATTTCCGTCTAGGATGCTGCTACAGTGGTTTTTTTAAACCTATTTTGTGCATCAAGTGAGCATTCCCTCATTGAAGTAGTACATATCAAGTGGGCAAATATAACTCCCACCAAGTTCCAGACACATTTCATGGCTCGGATTTGAATTAGCATCAGCCCCCGTCGCGTTAAAAAAACATCATTGAGCTTATAAAAAGGTGGTAAATAAGCTAAGGGCAAGACAATTGACCGATAAATCTTATTAAAATATGATTATAACAATCTAAAGTCCTTATTACAATATGATTTTTCAATGTCATAACACCACCCAAGGTCTCCAAACCAAGAGATAAGGGTGTGACATCTAGAAGAACTAGTCGCTGACATCTCCAGCCAATACTCGTGCCTGAAAGAAGATAACAAGAGGTTTATAAGATAACTGGAGCATAAATAACATACATTTAGAAATAGCCTTCCATGAATAAATTGGAAAAAACATTAAAAGCATCAAATTCCAAGATCCGGACCTGGACTGCAGCGCCGAGAGCAACCACTTCATCAGGGTTGACAGTTACATTGGGATTTTTTTCAGTCATCTTCTTGACAAGTTCTTGAACAGCTGGAATACATGTTAACCCTCTGACAAGAATAACCTCATCCAGATCCTTGAATGAGAGTTTTGCGTCTCTTAGAGCATTGTCAACAGGTGTTTTAAATCTAAAAGGATACAAAAAACAAAATTTTCGAGAGTCTTAATTTAAAAGGTCAGTGTCATGAGTAACAAGTGAAACATGAGCATCATGAAGTAAAACATTTCCCAGTAACCCAAATTAGGAAAACACGTAAACGAATGAACTCATGTTATACTGAATATACCTATATATCAAGAAGATCCGAACAAAGCTCCTCGAATTTAACCCTAGTAAGGGTTGTCTCGATGTGTTTTGGACCATCAGCAGTTGCGGTAATGAATGGTAGACTGCAGAAATTGACACCTAGATAAGAAAGAGCATCCAAATGATTAAAAAATATTAGAAAGAAAAGGAAGCATGCAGAAATTATACCTGATATTAGTTACATAATTTTTCAGCTTGTCAATGGGAGTTACATAAATGACAGCACTAAGATACATATAAAGTAGGCATTATATGGTAAAATTTACTTGACCAGTCTAATGAGAGTCAAATGAAAAAAATTCAAACTTGACTTGCTCAATGAGAGAAGAGATGTTCTCCAAATTCCATAACTTCTAAAAGAAGTATCGGGATTTGTAGAAATAAGAAGGTTTCCAACATGGTGAATATTAACTTCAACTAACAGATTGACAGAGTACATTTCAACCAATAGGGTTTTAATAACCAAATTTGCAATGTGCATTTTATTGTCATCTGCCCTCTAACATATGGCTTTTACATTGTGGCTTTTACATTGTAGCTGTCATATTGCTATCCTATTACCATAGTCGTCATGCCTGTAAAATCTAAGCTTTATCCTGTAAAATTGGATGTAATGATTAACAGGCAACAGAAAATCACATTCCATCCAATGGAACATACGAAACATAGTTGTAGGCAATAAAAATTACTTTAATTCCTAGCAAAGAAGCTCAAAACTAACAAAAACGCTAATATCTCTCAAACCGTAAGGAATTTGGCGAAACGGACAAGAGCAAACCGAACCCTTTGGGGTGGGTTTGGTTGGCTCCGTCTCATTGATATAGTCGATTTTCATATATGATTCGTTCAATTTTGACTTATGGTTTGAAAGTTATGATCCGTTTTTCGTAGCATGCTCTTAAGCCCACCTGCAAGACTGAACTTCGCCTAAACATTAAAGTTCGTCTACAATGCTAAGTTCGCCTGACAACTTTGCTCACCAGAACTAATTGAAGCTCGCCTGACAGCTTCTCCTACGAGGTTCGCCACCTAGCGAGGCTCAACATCAGAAGACGAGGTTCCCTTGCAGCAAGGCTCAACATCAAAGTTCATCACTGGGGACAAAACTCCTCTAGGAAATGAAGCCCTTTCAGGAGACGAAGTTTATCCACAGACGAACCTCGTCAAACAGCACCTCACCCCTCAAAATACGGACTTCGTCATTGAAGACGAAGTTCGCCCAGAAACGAAGTTCTTCATTGAAGATGAAGTTCAGCCAGAAATGAAGTTCGTCATTAAAGATGAAGTTTGTTATTGCCATTATTGACGAACCTTGTTTGCCACCATTTCCAGAGGCTATATTTAAGGAGGGTTAATGACCCATAACTCACCCATTTAAGGAGAGTTAATGACAATTAACTCACCCATTTAAATGGGAGTTAATAACCATAACTCCCTCATTATAAGAGGAGTTAAAGCCCTTAACTCACTCCATAATGGTCCTAAGCCTATAAATAGGCATGATCAACATGAAAGGAGTGTAGGCATAAAAAATTACCTATAGGTTCTCGCATATAGCTCGAGATAAAAAAAAGACGATGAATGTTACTATCCTAATCAAGGAGGATTATCTGAGTCAAAGGAGATCATCTAATATTGTAGAGAAGCTAAAAACCACACGAAATAAGTCGGCGAAGCGTACGAGTCTGTGAAACATGCTAAACGATAAAGAAACAACTCAACCAGGAGTTATGCTTTATCCACAAAAGGGTGAAGTATCATGTGTGTCTCATCTACTCTATGAGTGTTTTGCCTATGGAAAGTTGTAGATCTCTTCATCATCTTTTCAACGCATCTTGGATCATCTCATTCTGAGATCGGACGAGGGAGTTAAAGCCAAAATACCCGAGACAACACAAACTGTCTCGGAAGTGCGAGACAGACTTCACTGTCTCGGAATGCGAGACAGTCATGACTGTCTCATACCAAATCTGAATAAGGTCAAAAGACAAAAGTTGTAGATCTCTTTATCATCTTTCCAAGCATCTTGGATCATCCCATTCTGAGATCGGACGAGAGAGTTAGAGCCAAAATACCCGAGACAACACAAACTGTCTCGGAAGTGCGAGACAGACTTCACTGTCTCGGAATACGAGACAGTCATGATTGTCTCGCATCAAATCTGAAGAATGTCAAAAGACAAAAGTTTTATATCTCTTTATCAGCTTTCCAACGCATCTTGGATCATCTCATTCTGAGATCGGACGAGAGAGTTAGAGCTAAAATACCCGAGACAACACAAACTGTCTCGGAAGTGCGAGACAGTCTTCACTGTCTCGGAATGCGAGACATTCATGACTGTCTCGCACCAAATCTGAAGAAGGTCAAAAGATAAAAGTTGTAGATCTCTTCGTCAGCTTTCCAACGCATATTGGATCATCTCATTCCGAGATCGGATGAGGAAGTTAGAGCTAAAATACCCGAGACAACACAAACTGTCTCGGAAGTGCGAGACAGACTTTACTATCTCGGCCATAGAGTTGGTTACAACACGTTTTTTGACGGTTTTTTGGCTTCATAACTACTTGAGATCAACTATAAACGTGGAGAGATGGTTACAAACTGAAAGGGGACCCACTAACATGATAAAATGATGGTATTTAGGTAGTGGGACGATGGTTACAAAAGGGGGCTGATTAGAGAGCATCCGATCAAGCATATTTTCGAGCAATCCAGGGCAGAGAGAGCAGATTTGAGTTTTCGTGCAACTCCTTAAAATTGAGCTTTGACTTGATTTTAAGAAGAACGACTATCTTACTTTGATAAGATATCGTTTCAAATTCTCACTTCGATAAACGAAGTCAGAATCATAAACCCCTCACGATTCAATCAGAATCTGTGATTTGGTGGTCCACGGGCTAACGCACCCCCGGCACAGGCAAAGATCCCACGCAAGCAGCGATCCAAACAACGATCCTGCGTTTGTTTCTCAAGAGTTGTAATTTTCATTTTGTTGTGTAAAAGAAGTCTTATAAAAAGGCTGTCTCTTTTTGAATTTATTGTAATCGACCGAAGATATAATAAATTCCATGACAAAGTCAACTTTTGGCGCAAACAAACTGGCGACCACAGTGGGAGCCAACGGTCTCGCTGCCGAGACCGTCGTGTCGCAGCCAATCATCAAGATCCTGGTTGAATCAACGGTCGTGTACGAGTTCGACCAAGCGAAATTTGAGGAGTATATGTCATCCTCATCTGTAAAGTCTTCCTCGCCTCGCAAATGCAGGAAGATTTCATCTTCGTTGAAGTTATCAAATGCTACGGATGAAGATTCTCGTCCGATTGTTGCTGAGGATTTTACTCGCAACAGCTCTGCTCAAGATGATTCCTCCCCAATTAAGGAGTCGTTCAATCGAAGTTCACCACTGACGAAGAGGGCTCGTCAAAGGCGACGCCAACGCCGCGCTCGTCAATTGGCTAAGGCATTGGAACAAACCGACGAGGTTCATTATTACGCGGACCTAAAGTCGAGGAGGCATCGAGTGG